TGCAGGTCGTTTATACTCCTGCGCTCCAATTATTTCAGCCAATGTTTTAGTGTAACCTGCGTAAGGAGGTGCCGTCGTTGGTCTTTCATCCATGTTATCGTCGTCAACTGAAGCCGGGAGATAGATAGACTCAGACTGTAGAAGGCTGTTTGTCAAAGTACTGCTGCAGTCAAGGTCATCTGAAAGAATACATCAAAAAACAAAAAAATTAGTGATAGATGATAAAACATGACATCATATGCAAAACATGATGACATCATACACAGAACATGACATAATACACAAAACAGAGTGACATCATTCACAAAACATGGTGACATCATTCACAAAACATGGTGACATCATTCACAAAACATGGTGATATACACAGAACATGACATCATACACAAAAAAAATGGTGACATCATTCACAAAACATGATGATATCATACACAAAACATGGTGACATAATAGACAAATTTTTCTTTGTGTTTTTGTGTATGTGTGTATTATATTTTTTCCCCTCTTTTGTGCATGTAATCTACATTTCTACATACCTTGATCAACATCTTGTAGTACCAAATCAAGCATTGATTCCCTGGCATCACTAGACTGATAACGCTTAGTCAGAACATTCTGGTTATGATCACCTGCATTGGTAGAAGCCCAGGCTTTCGTTGGAGTGGTCTTGGTGCTTGAAATACTACCATCTTTATGGGGACTACGTGAATCTTTGGGGGATCTTTTCTTTTTTGGTGAGGAACTCCTAGATCTTGATGGTGATGAGGAACGCTCAGGTGGTTTTATGTAGCTTTTTTCTGTACTCATTCGAGTAACGCCGATGACATCCTTATCGTCCTTCAGCTGATTTTTATAATACATTTGCTTACTCAGTATTTTATTTAGTTTTTCGTCTTCTTGTGTCTGCAGCAAAGAGGAAACAAAGGAAGCAACTTAGTTTAATTTCTTGTCCAGATTGTTCTGCACTTTTTTCTTATATTCTTCAATATTACTGGAAATGAACCCTAATTTTGGAGCCAACCGACAAAATGTGAGTCAATTATCAGTTTTTACTAAAACAATTTGGCTATTTTTGTCCCAATCTTCTAAAGTGCAGACTATAAAAAAGACCATTTTGTGAATTTGTGATGAAAAGAGGGAACTGGTGGTGATAAGGTTAACATAGCACTAACCACAACGCTCAAACCTTATATTGTGATTGATTGATGAAGCAGTGGCTTTAAATGGTTAAGTAATAATATTAAGGAACCATACATTTAGGCAAAGGAGAGTTTGTGCAGCTATTTCTATAGTGACGATTAGTGACAAGACAAAACATTTAGAGGGTCACACAGTGGCACACAGTTATTATCTGAGTGTGAATGGGAGGAGTGGAATAACCTAATTGTAATCACACAGGTGTAAGAAAGGCTCTTAGAAATCAACCACACAATGCATTCCAAGCACAACAGGAGTGCTATACCACAAGACTAAGATGTAGTAGAAGTGTGACCAAAGATTTAGCAATGATTAATGCAAACATGTACTGTCTATCAGCCTACTTTGCGGTCTTCTCATAACAACTCATTGTTATAAAACCAGTTTAAAGCACAGTGGCTATGACATTAAGACACGATTATTGAACTTTCTGCAGATAATTACTGTAAAATACTTATTTTAGCTGGAATTAATTTTCGCTGTAAAGACATTTTTGGTGCTTTGTATGGAATTTATTTTCACTCATTTTTGACAAGTTGAATGTAAAATATAGGAAAAAAGGTATATTCGCTGGATTTTATTTTCACTGAATCATTCCTTCAGCGAAAATTAATTTCAAGCAAAAATAAAGTATTCTACAGTACTCCAGTAACTAGCTCAGGCATGTATGATTAAACTACAAAATACAAACATTGTTATCAAATTTCCAGGTTTCAAAAGTGACACCCACTAAATGTGATGACTTCCTCCCATAATAATTAATCACAAGTAACAATCAACAAGGACAGTAATCTTTTATTCACTGAGTCTTATCTCTTCTCACTTCTCAGTTTTCTACTCTACATTGTCCTAACAATTTACATAACAAGTCATGCAACTGTCAGCAGATAGACAACTTTACATGTATCTTCATTAATTGCACCATGCTACAGTGAACTCTGTATTACCATGTTGCAGTCTCAATAAAAAAAGACCACTGAAAATAAAAATCAATAAAAAGTACTCACATCAGATGCCATAGTTACTGGGCTAACGTGGCTTAGGTAATCTACGAGTTGACCGTGATGTCCCGGCCGGAACGCTCTTCCTTTTCCTTGACTGTATAACCACTCAGCTTTTAAACTGAAATATTAAATGATGTTATGCACGGTGTCAGTTGATAAAATACTTCTTAATCACAATCATTAATACTACCAAAATTTAACAGTCAAGTGCAGGTTGCAGCATATCCACATTTATCTGTTAGTTACTACAACAGCAGACTGACCTGAAAGTTACTGTAATTGTACTCATCCCGTTCTATGTCTGGTAACTAACTGATCCAAGAAGCTACTAGATAAACTGAACACCCATATGTGTGTACATGTTGAAGCTTACCTTTCTTTCTGAGTCACAGAATAACCGTCAAGTATTTTCAGCTTCAAGCACCAATTAATAACAAAAGGTCGGTAATCAAAGACACTGAGGTGAAACAGTTAAGGTGTAAAACACAAAAGATGGCATTGTCACATCGAGGAAGGTGCAGAAACAACTGTATTTTTTGTTTGTTTTTTTAAAAGAGACAATTGCTGGTTACATAAAAAAAATACAATGAATTGTAGAAGGACAGTTCTTGAATGATCTAAGGACAATTGATTACGGTTCAAAGCATTAGTTGTGAAGAAGATCATAATAAAAACAATCAATGAGCGTTCGTGTTGCGACTCTAATCTAGGGATCAATGTCAGATTAGCTGTAGTTTACAGTCACATTGCTGTCACTCATAATGAAGTAACTAGGGTAATTCCCTTGACACTTAGCAACAAGTTTCTAAAAGTCAAGTTGTTATTTGTATCTAAGCAACAAAGACATCAGGTGACAATTAGAATGTATAGAGGTTCAGCGTTAATAGGTCAACAAATGAGGTAATGGCTTCGTTGAGCAGCCGTTTTCTGCCTCACATGAGGTGTGATATTATATAAACGTACAAAACGCAATATAGCAGGTATGCTAGTAGATAAAAGCAAATGTTTTAGTGGGAGAGGTAATTAGGAGCCTTTCTGAAATAATTAAAACGTAACAAAAGTAACATTTTTTTATACAATAACCATCCAAAATGGTTATTGACAATATTCTTTTAAAAATGACTGCTTACAGCAAAGCAACTCTTACACAGCTTGACTAACAATCTTCCAGTTCCAGTTTGACATTGACCAACATCGCTACCTGGGGTAAAAAATTCTTCCGTTGCCGAAGTAAAAGGCTAATGTGCTAAGTGTCAAGTACATAAAAACCAGACAGCAATAAAGTATGGAATCTATCGGGTAAGCAGTTCACGATGAATCTTAGTGAACATTAAGTGTTTTTCAGTAACACCGATCCCCTGGCACTAAATAAAGAGAACATTAAAAACATCCAATCAATCAGTACAAAAAAGAAAATAGAGAAATGCATGGGACTTTGTCCTTGCTTAGCAACAGGCAGGTTCCTCCCTCAAATCAAAAAGCGGAACTGTAAGCAGGAACAATGTTAATAGTATGTTTATCATATCCTGTATCACTTATCAATTACAATAAGTCACATCCCAACATTCACTGGGTCTTTTAATATCTTATTTAAAAGGAAAAAATACTGACCACAGACAGACAAGAAGCTGAGCGAGTCACTCCCAACAGTTTTTAATTCAGTCCTATTACTGTAAAATACATTATTTTAGCTAGAATCAATTTTTGCTGAAAAGACTTTTTGTGTGTTTTGTATGGAATTTATTTTCACTCATTTTTGATGAGTTGAATGTAAAATATTGGAAAAAAGTAATATTCGCTGAATTTTATTTTCACTGAATTATTCCTTCAACGAAAATTAATTCCAAGCAAAAATTTACAGTACTACCGGTACACACCCTTGGCTTGTACAGACATGTACATTTGTACATGTACTTGGCAAGAGCGGGTGAAGCATGGCAGCATAAAAGGGTGGCACAATATTGGTCTATGTTAAGAAACAGAATTCAAGCGGTGCTTATTCCACCAACTTCATAGTTCAATAAAACACGAAATGGCAGTCAAAATATCACGTCTAGAAAAACTTTAATATTTACAATACAACAAGATTTTGATGATTAAATGACAGCAAATACTATAGAGAAGGGAGTACAAAAAAAGCATGACATCATCCACCAGTCTTACACTGCTGATCAATACTGTTTTGATAAATCTGGGATCGGAGCCAAAAATGCTGTTAAAAAGCCAAGGACCTGGAGACATGTACTAAGACACAGTAGTTTATGACAACTTGACAATGATTATCTGGAAGATCAAGTTACAACAATTTTCATTTTCAGTATATATCAAAGGATATTTGGAGCATTCAGGCAAAATAATGTGACAAAGTTGTGCAGGATCTAACATTCAAGCCATCAGATGATGCAAAGAGGTCAGAAATAAATCTATTCCCATGATGTAACTTTGTAGAATAAGTAAAGATAATTATGGTTGTATTTTCAACATATAGATATAAGGAAGAGATAATCTCATAATGCAACTTAAATTAGGATAAATAGTTAATAATGGGAGGGTGTGTGATTAAGGTCAGTCAAAATACTTGAATTCAAAATGAAAGGTGAACAAGGGGTGAATAAAAGGTGGTAAATTACAACAGAAATTTCAAAGCATGCATATACATGTACGTGATTTGATAAATATCATATTAGCGCTACCGGTATATAAAGCACAAGTTTACATTTCCAGAGTGTTTTCAGCATAT